AGGAGTGATGCATAAGCAGATCGGAGAGGTAGGGAGGTACCAGGGCATGAAGCGATCTATGCGGGAGTGTGAGGATCTTAGGGAGCCAGTAGAGCCTAGAACTTGGATGATGGGACTATGGAGCCTGTTCCGAGTGAGAACACGGGTGGTGGAGTTCTGAATCAGTTGGATTTTATGAGTGATGGAGCTGGGAAGCCAGGTGAGGAAAAGCCCTCAGCAAATACAAGAATTATTATTATTTGTTTGTCTCTGAAGGTGCCACCTCATGAGTCATTATTTTGGCACCAGCTGTTTTAACACTGTATGATCTGATCCTTTCCGAACATAACCCTACCATCTTCCAACTATAGTATCAAATGAGTCTAGTCTTCTGACTTTAACCACCCTTTCTGGTAACGCATTGCAGTTGTTTCTTTCTGTGTAAAGAAAATCTTTCTGATGTCTGTCCTAAATTTACCCTTCACAACCCTGATCCTATGCTCTTTTGTCCCTTACCTTGGTGCTTATGAAAGTATTGGGTTTACTTTTTCTATCTAGTATTTCCCATCACATTCGCCAATAAATTCATAGTGTAATAAGCACCTGAGAAGAGCTGCACTATGAGACACGGCTGGGATATTCATTCCACTTGCCAAGTGGGCAGTGCAACAAATTTCTTCCCAGGTTTGTGAAGCAGAAACAAAGCTATTCCCCAGCTTGTCAGTAATGTCAGCACGTTTTGCCCTCTGTTCCCAATCCTTCATTTCTTGTCTCCGCTATACTGATGATCCTGGATTAATTCTGGCTCCAAAATACTACATCATTGAGCACAGTGATAGCTTAACCCAGTTGCATTGGTATTGATGGGGAGGTGGGGGGATGTCTGTTCAATTTCTTGATGTGCACTATCAGTAACATTAATGATTCACTTTTTGTTGCTGTATAGCTACAGTTGTAAGTAGATTTTGCTGAAGTGTATGCACATCAATCACACATTGGATACAGTTTCTGCAAAGCTGCAAAGAAATGAACCAAAGCAATGTATGCAAACCAAAGCAATGTGTGTGCATTACCTTCAGGATCAATTTTATTTCACTGGGAGCAATGTTGCTCCTACTGTATGTGCACCTAACGGGAACATCTCCCAGATTTCCTGATGTCTCCAATCCTCCTTGTTACAGGACCACCCTCTCCTCATACCTGTTTGCCCCCAAAATGCACAGTCAATCCACTTAACTGTATATTCTGTGACTCGCTTTGAGACATCTCAATGACATGATAAGGCACTATATCAAATGCAAGTATTATTATTATTAAATCTGTATTTTATGGTTTACAATTTACTTGCAAGAAGAATTCAAAACAGTGCTGGAAATGCATGGAATGACGTTCAGCATGTGAAAGAGAAGGATAGGTTAACCTTTCAGGCAGGATGCTTAATGATAATTCTCAGTACTGCAGTATTATTGGGTTACTGTCAGGGGCATAAATATTTGCAATTGTGATCAAATACAGATCGGCTTTATAAAAACTGATGCTGGGCCTTATGGATTCTGTTTTTGAATGCTGGCAAATCTTTTGTCCTGTCAATTTCCATTTTGAGCGTGGATGAGAAGTTTATTGATGTTACGAAAGAACACATATATTTAATCCCAGTCTCTGTCTTGTGGACATTTATGCCGTTTAACCCTGATCCTGGGTTAATTTACATGCTGTAGCTAACAGCACGCTGGCTATTAGCAGTAGAGCTGTTATAACCGACCCCCTACCACAATGAGTTAAATGATTCACTCTGCTGAGCTGCTATTCTAATCTGGTCAAAGTACAATGAGCTAAACTATTTGCTTGCCCTGACAGGTCAGACAAACTGTGCTCTCCCCCCAAAAAATCACCAAACGTTCTGGAGTTCCCTGAACAAAAACAGAATTGTGATTTCCCAACAGCTGAGTATGTGCAAAAGTGGACTTCTGGTCATAAGCTTTCCCAGGAGTGCTGAGGATTCGAAAACACAGTTGGTGTTGTATAAATGTGTTGGAATTCCCAACCTCTTTAGCCATTCTTGCTGTTTTAGGAGCTGTTGCACTCTCCACAAAAGTCAAAGTTGCCCTGAGGGACTCCTGCACCTGCAAACCAGTGCGTAGATCATTACTCTATGTTGCAGTTGTTGCTTTGGGAAAATTAATTCTTAAATCACAACATTGTGATTTCTAGAAGAGATCTGCACAAAGATGCAAATTGTACTGCAGATTTTAGAGTGAAATTGACTGACAGAATATCTGCATCTGTACACAGCCAGGAACTGTCATTGATATCTGAAATTACAGTTTGCTCAGCTTTCTTTGTTTGAAACATGCTTTTTGCCTTTAGGGGTAAAGATGAAATTGTGTCCGGGGTATTTTGTTGCTTTCTCTCTGTCTCCAACAGGAAGCAATTATCCAACTGAGATTAACAAATAAAAAACTCTGAGAAGGTATTGTATACTTACATGTGATTGTCATGTTGTTGTAAGGTAGCATGAGCCCACTTGCTATCTCTTAATGTCTAGCACAACCTAAACAAGAGAATGCTTGGGCAGTAGAGTGACATTTCCGTGGCAGATTTTCAGGTTTAAAAATACATACTATTTAAGTAGATATGCACAAAGCACAGTTGATGACAGTGGGGGACAGTCCGTGGCCTTGGATAGGATCATTGCATCAATGAGAAGGGAGATTGCAATGACCCACAGGAATGTTTAACCGTTGTGTGGGACAGGGTGAAAAGGAATAGGGAATGGATTTGGTTGGATTAGGATCAGCAGGTTTTCTATTTCTGTGAGTAAACTTGATCATTTCAAAAACTCCAAACTACCACAGCAGAAAATCAGAATATGTATTTTACAGATGCAAACTAATGCTTAATGGTTGATGTACAATTGAGGAATTTTTTTTTAAGTATCACTTTAAATTTTACTTGTAGCTGAACAGTGAATGCTTGGAATTTCATCTCGCCTTAGCCTTAAAACTATTGTTGTAAAAATTTTACTTATGTGCACAGTTTTTGAAAAATAGTTTTTCCGCAGCTGTTAAAAAGACTTGCAGAAAACAGGTAGCCAAATTAAGAATTTTCTAAAATTTTGCATGATCCTAGATATAAGATCTTTGGTCTTGAGGCTAAAACCAAGTGGAATTTCAAGCCATAGAAGATAAAAACAAATTTGTGGTTTGTGTCAGGATGATATAAAGGTGCTATACAAGCTCTCGACTGCAATGATTTTTGAACCAGCCCAGTGCACCATGATTGTATATACAGTGCGTGACAATTTGTCGCATTTTAAATCCACTACTTGTCAAACTGTATTCCCCCGGGGGGTGGGGGGGGAACTCAATTGTTAAAGGCATCAAGAGGAATGTGAACTCCATTCTTTCCACCAGCCAGTCTTGGCAGCAGCCAGAAAATCAGGTCTTCAAGGTGATGCACTGACTGGAAAATGAATGATGGACAGGGCCCACAACACATACTGCTCCATTGTTTGTAAGATGGGAACATTAATATATCGGTAAAGAGAAATCACATTTTCTTTCAAAGAATGACAAATGTAATAAAGTGATGACCATGAGCAGTTTGTTCAAACAACTCCTGGCTTTGTTGCTTGTTAGCTGAAAAGAATCTATAGTACTTTTTGTCTTCTATGTATCTTCCATATTCAACCAATGATAGAATTATAGGTAACCTATGATTCATCCACAACACAGGAATAACTCTCAAGGACCACAGGAGCTTATAATAGTTTGTGCTTTCTGGTGTGAGAGCCTCTAATTATATGCTATGGAAGAAATGGGTTACAACAGTGAGATACTGTCATTACTAGTTCATTTACTCCATTTACTGCCTGTGGATACTCGAGGGGGCAATTGCAGACAATCGTCTTGTCTTTCTGTCGCATTACGTCCATGCCTGCACACAGTCACAAGGAATATTTACAGAATACTAATTAAGAAAAGCATCGCTTTCCAATGGTCTTTGTGTTCATATCACAGGTTGAGTTTATTTTGGCCGGGCTGAGGAACCATTTGGGACTATGCTCTCCGTATTTGGAATTCTTAAGAAAAACAAGCTACCAAATTCAGTTTTCCACAGATCTGTGCAATCTTTACGGTTTAAGACAAAATAGTCTTACCACCAAAGATCAGTTGTAATGTCAGGCCTCGGGTCAGGTATTTGCAGTGACTTGTTCCCCGGTTCATTATTGTGTGTGGAAGAGCCCAGATTACGAGCATTGGGCACTTTCCAGTTTTAGGAGGGCATTACAGCCAAGCCCAATCCTGTTGACAGATAACAACAAAATATACAATACAAATTATAATAAAAATTTACATTTAGATTGCACCTTTCATTTTGGGAGGATGTCCCAAGGTACTTGACATGCACTGTTTGATAAGGACAATGATCAGGTGTGGGAACCCTGGTTGAGTGCCTTTTTTTTCTTTTTGACAGTCCTATAAGATGAACAAAGCACAAAACAGGCATGTGATAGAGGAGACATGGCAGTGCAGACGTTTTGAGTACGATCAAAAGTTCTCATGAAATGGCTATATTATTATCTCATATACTGAGTTCTGAATCTCAGGAATACCAAATGATCCCCAACTGCATCCTCAGACAGAAAGTAAATCAGAGGCAAAATCACACTGAACTACCCTTACACATCTCCCTGTAGCAGATTTCAGAGCAGGATGTCTTCTTGGCTACAGATAGTACAAGACATGAAGAGATTAGTTGAAAGGAGAAGCGAAGAAAGTACAGATAGCTTAAAAAAAGACTTCAGACCCTGAAAAACACATCTTTGTGATCTATAAAGGGTTTGCTGGACAGTGGTGAGTTTTAATTCAAACCACTTACAGTGAACATCAGTGTTGCAAATTTAGTGAGGTAGGTATCTTTTTACGTCTTTTTTAAAAAAAGCAGGTTTAAAATTGGTGAATCAAAGAATTATGGTAGATGTTTAAACCAAATAAAAATGTAGTGTTCCCCTTTTTCAGACCCTGCTGAATCACGGATGAAATGCAAAGAAGGTTTTTCGTTGATCGCTGCCATGGAAACAACTGTCCCCGTTCTGCAATCCCAAGTACTATGGAAGGGTTTGTCCAGTATTCTATTTATCAATAAACATGTGTTTCAACAGCTTCTATCTTCCTTTCTGTAAACCTTCTGGTATTTTAGAGAATAGCTCACAACTACACATCTGCTGTTCTGACATAATGAAAGTAGCCTGCATGTCCCCGAATGTGCTGCTAAATGTGTTCACTGCTTAAACGGTATTAGCTATGCATTCTATTATGTGGTAGCTTGGTGTTTGACTTCAAAATTTTATGTTGTAGTGTTCATTGGCTTTATATCTACTGCCTTCAGCTGAATAAATGTTTTCAACTGCAAGAGTGGCTTGTTGTCTTCTGTTGTATGACACGTGGATGTTTGCGAACAGTCAAATTCAGTGAATCACTGTTGGCATGAGAGGGAATTTGTCAATATGCTGCATCAGAACGATTTGGGAAATTTACATAGCATATTTGGAGTTTCAGTGCAGTGGGCCACAGAGAGTGAGAATGAAGACTTGTGCTGACATAAGGGTTCTAGTTTACGCTGATTATAAAATAAAAAGCTACCTTATGTCTGTAGTCAGATTTCACATTATAGATATAGTGATAAGATAGCTTTTTTTAATGATCGATGTAATACAACCGCCTCCCTCAGTGAATTTCTGATCTCAGCCAGAGTTGTATTGAGGGAGCACAGGCTCACAAGGAGGAGTAAATTACCCTCAATTACTTCCCAATGTCTCTAACTGACATTGACAAAAGCTTTTGAGCTGGTTGCCTATCAGACTGGAGATAGAATAGAAATATACACCCAAGACTTAGATTTGTATATGTCGTGAACTCCCATCTCAGACATATGAAGCTGCTAAGTTAGAGCCAGGAAATTTCCAAAAGAAAATAAATGAAATCAGAAAGAACATCACCGCAAACTAACCTTGAAACTGCTTGTAGAGTAACATTGACGAACCAGAGGCACTACTTCCTGTTGAGTGTGTTATTGGGAAAATTAAATAAGGGACAGAAATAAACTTTTTTGTTTGTTTTTTTAAATATATATATTTTATAGGGTTACGTACCACTGGTACCTGTTGTATTAAATTAAAAATATTTTCTTGCACTGTAAGAGACCACAAGAATAGCTCATGGATTATTGAAATGTCACATTGGTGCAACTGACATTTTGCATTGTCTGTTTGTCAGTGGTATTTGTGTATGCCCAAGAAGGGGTTGACCTTACAATACAAAATTACATTTGTAAAGCACCTTTCCCGTCAGGAGGACGTCCCAAGATGACCTTGTTGTAAATGCAAAAGTAATTCATCACTGTAGATAGTTAATACTTAATAACCTACATTTTAGAACATGTATTCCAAAGTTCAACAGAGCCATTGGGGAACTAAGAGAGATCCCCTATCAAATTAGCAGCTTTTTCTGCTAGGAGAGCACGAGCCTCCCCAAACATGGGAGCAATATTCAAGTCTTTATAACCGACTTGGATTTAAGAGTGGAGATTGTTGAAGGTTTGGGCTGAAAGAGTAACCTAAGCTGTTTGGAGACAGCATTAACAAGTAGTTGTGAGAGTTAAATTTGAAGTCCTAGGAGGAAGGGAATCGATTGCTGAGGACTTGACTCACTTTAGTGTCTTTGGACATCCTTCCGACCTGAAAGGCCCTATAGAAATAATTTGTTGTTGGCTGTTGAGGAAAGATTAAGAGTGAAACTTTCAAAATTGAGATGGAACAATTATTAGGAACTTTCGCCTGTAACAATTCCGACTTTTCACTTGGCAGAGTTATTAGCAAAGTATTTTACACCGAGTTATTGGGAGGTTTTACATTATTGTTGAAGCCCAATAAATTACATCATTTAATAGGAAGCTAGTTAAGTTCTTGAATGAGGATATAACATCGGGAAATGAATAGGGAGATGGGATTAGAGTAATTTGCTCCAACAACAACTGCACAGCATGTGCCGTGAAATTTCTACAGTTCTATACAGTGCATGTCATGACCTTTACCCCCCTCTCACATACATACATGCATGCATGCATTACACACATACATGCATGCATACACACATACATACACACACAAACAAATATGCATGTATATACATATATATACGCACAAACGCATCTGAGAAAATTTTCACCTTAAAATGTGTTTGGTCAGAGATTACGGAGGTGTTGCTACATTAAAAATGCACAACCTATTTTTTGCCACTAGATGTTGCTGGTTTACTTGAGCATATTCAAAATAAGTAATCTCATTTATTGGGGACCCTACTTAAAGTTTTTATTGTATCAGAATGTTAATAGGCAGAGATTATATATAGGAAATGTCTCCTGCGCATCAGTAAAGCAGTAGAAGTTTTTCGGGCAATATTAATTGACCTAATCTAGGCAACTGAATGGAAAGAGTTGCTATGGGAAGGAGTTGCATTAACACAGTTGGATGTGTCACTCTTTTGAACACTGCTCATAGCTGGCGACACCTCTTTTACTTACTTAAACCTCTTAATCCAATATACTCCACACGCCTAATAATAATCCCTCCAAAACCAAAAACAATAATAAATTGGTCATTTTCAATCTACGACTGTTTGTGGGACATTGCTGTGCGCAATTGGCTGCCGCGTTCGCCCACAAATATACAGTCAATTCACTTTACAGTGTGTTCTGTGAAGCGCTTTGGGACGTCCTCCCGACGTGAAAAGCGCTATATCAAATGCAAGGATTATTATTATTATTATTATTATTATTATTATTATACCTGAGATGACAAGGTGCCTCACTTATGTCATTTTAAAAGAATATGGGTGTTTCTCAGTTTCATGGATGAAATCTGGAATCGTACGCCCACTAATTTGGGTTTGCGGCAGCGACAGTGTCACATTGAGTTCATGTGAATTCAACCTCCTCATGATGTTGCTGGGAGAGTCTTTACCAAAGTTTCTTATGTTGTCACAGTGTTTATGTGGTAATGGACAGGAGCACCTAAGGTTGTTCCGGTTGACAATAATTCCTTGAAGCGTTGTGCAAGGAATTATTATCTCCATCCCTGAATCCCTCTGCCTCGATCCTTCCCTCGCCTCCTTCAAAGCATGTCTCGAGACCTTCCTCATTAACCGTGCCTTAAGTCAAACTCCCACTCCCCCTATTCCAACCCCCAGTTGGCTGCAAACCCTTAACTGTCCAGCGCCTTGGAACATTTTTCCAATGTGAATCCCGCTATATTAATGTAATTTGTTGTTGTTGTTGCCAGTTTTTCCCCTCCCATCTCTTTCCATCTCTCTGAGATTCCATATATAAATTCAAACGCACTCTTCACCGGTCTCCCCAACTCCACTATTCAAAAAATCCAGCTCATTCAGAACTCTGCTGTCCGCATTCTTACCCGAACCAAACTACGTAAACCCATGTCACCAGTTCTGGCCAAGCTCCACTAGCTCCCCATCATCAAACGGATCGACTTCAAGATCCTCACATTTGTGTTCAAATCGCTTCACTGCATGGCACCTCCCTACCTCTCCGGCTACCTCACTACCCAATCCACCACCTGACGCCTGCTTGTCCTTCGCACCCTCTGCTCCACCATTGGAGGTCGCGCTCCCTGAATCCCTGTCTTGCCCCGTTTCTCCCCTTTTTCAAGTCCCGCTATAAAACCTTCCTTTTCGGCTGTGCTTACAGTCACCTCCCCCTCCCCCCCTCAGCCAAGCTCCGCCATTGTTAAGCATTCTGAGATGCTGCCCTGCATGGAGGGCACTATATAAGTGTAAGTTGTTGCTGTTGTAAATGCAAGGTATGAATATTGTGGTATCGTTCTGAAACAAAACCTATAATAACATTGTTCAAGCTACATGAAATTTAGACACTTAGAAATTTTCAACAGGAGGAAGCCATTCAGCCTATCAAGTCTGTGCCACTGCTCCCTATTTTACTAATTATATTATGTTACACAGACTTGTAATGTAGAATCACTGATATTCATCCACTGGGATATAAAACTTCTCAATACCAGAAATGTAATACTTAATGTTATAAATATCTGGAGTATGTACATTGCAGACTCCGGAACTAAACATAGGAGATTGCACATCACTGAGCTGCCTCTATTCAATGAGTAACCTTGTCTGAACCAGTTACAGGCTTTGGAGTTATTGGAATTAATCTATGGGCAGCACTTAGACTTTGAATTCCCCCTCAGCCTATCTATCTTCCAGCACACATTGCTCAACATTAGTCAGAAGTTGGTTCCTACGCAGCAAAAAAAGGTTTTTCATCATCCTGTACAGTATGTACAGTGCAACATTCCCTGGCACATTAATAATATGGAAATAGAACAATGAATAGCCAAACAGCAGAATGACGGAAAGGCTGCATTGCCACCATCAGCCCCTTCTCCTTTGTTTTTTCCATCTCTTCTTGACTTCTGCAGTGTGTTTCCTTTGTGTTGTGTTTCTCATCATGAACTTGCAGAGTGAAAGATTTGATCCCAAGCCTCTGTCAATGTTCCCTTTATCTCTTAGCACTTCCCCATCTCTCCAATATCATCCTACCTCACTCCTCTGATTGCTTACTCCACTCGATTAATTCTGACTTGTTGTGCTTCCCCTGCCTTACCCATGCCCAACATTGGTAGCCAAGCTTGCACTTGCCACTAACCTCTGAACCCCTCCATCTTACCCCCTCTGTTTCAAGCTCTGTTTTAAAATCTACCTCTTCCACTGCACCTATGGTTCCACTCCCCTGCTAGGTGTCCATCTTCGCCACTGTAAAGTTTAACGAGACGTTATACTACATGAAGGATGCTATATAAATATAAATTATTGTTGTTTATCCAATGACTAGGTAAGCAAGAGAATATGAGGAAACTACCTTCTGTTTAAACTGGAGGACTGATGCAGCTGAACCAATCAATGATCAGCCATAGTACATGTGCGTGTGGAGTTGGACCTAGCAAAGTCAGGCAGGTCTGCAGTAATCCAAGGTAATGTTGGTTCATCGATGAGATGCTATAATGAACCTATGTATGTGGGTTAGTTTTCAAAATGTTGTCAGGGCAATGTTGTAATAATTAGCTCAGATTGCTGTGATTGTGGCTATGATTTCATCGTTCACTGGTTAGCTCAGTTGCCTGCCAGCCACCAAGTTCAAGTTCCACAGGCAATGTAATGCTTTCAGAGCCTCTTAATAAGGTCACTTCCTGTTTTAAGAACATCACTTTTAGTGAATTTAAGTCAAATCTGCATTTGATCTTCCCACTCACAGTGATTTCTGGTTAAGTGTAGGAAGGGCGAGCTGTGCTTCAGAATGACTATATGATATTATATCTGTAA